CTCCTTGCCTCTGTGGCACAACGAGGCCACGTGGCTGAGAGGGGTTTCCAACCTTGGGATTGGAAGGCAGAGAGAATGGCTGGCTCCTGCTGTTTGATACTTTCCGTGAGGCTGTGGGTAATTGAGAGATCCTTCTTTGTTTGGCTTGGACGAGCAGGACCACATGGCTCCTTTAGAGTGCTTCATTCAGGGCGGAGTGGGGAAATCCCTTCCTGGTGGATTGCAGAGTTGCTCCTTTATGCCGGGGATTGATTGGGGAAACCCCTCCTCTGTGGTAGTGGCTCCATTAAGTGCTTCATTCACTCTTTCCTCATAAAGCTTGGTTTCCAGCCCCCTGCATCTGTCTTGAAGTGCACAGTCCAGAACTTGCCACAGTACTCAAGATGAGGCCTTGTTGTTAGTCATTAAGTCATGTCTGACTCTTCGTGACCCCATGGACCAGAGCACGCCAGACCCTCCTGTCTTCCACTGCCTCCTGGAGTTGGGTCAAATTCATGTTGGTAGCTTCGATGACATTGTCCAACCATCTCGTCCTCTGTTGTCCCCTTCTCCTCTTGCCTTCACTCTTTCCCAACATCAGGGTCTTTTCCAGGGATGCCCTATTCTCTTCTAGCTGCCACCAGGTACTACCTTTCTAATACCAATTTTGTATGTTATACACATGTGCTGCCAAAGCTAAGGTTTATTGAACTTAGGAATCAGAGGTTTGAGTAACAAATATTCGTTTACTGTCAAGTAAATCACAAAGTTAAATCATGTATGAAAGGTATCAGGTATTACCAAGGATTTGGTTATGTATGGGGTTGTAACTACTTTTATTCTGAACTACTATATAATTTTAATCAATATCTATCTTATATTACTTATAATTTCATTCCTGCTTGTTCAATATATTTTAGCCTTCTCAATTCACTCTCTTAACTCTCAGCTCAATTCACTAACCCTCTTCTTCTTCTCTCCTAAATTCTGTCATTTCACATCCCCAACTGTCTCTCTAACCCCACCTCTCCTGCCCTATCTTTGGCTCCTCCCTTTTGAGCTTCTGTGATGGACAGGCAGGATTGACGTTACCTGTTGGTATTTTGCCACAGGGACCAGTGGCCATGATCTTCTTTTTTTTAATGTTAAGCTTCAGACCATTTTTGGCACTCTCCTCTTTCACCCTCATTAAGAGGTTCCTTAATTCCTCCTCACTTTCTGCCATCAGAATGGTATCATCTGCATATCTGAGGTTGTTGATATTTCTTTCTTCCGGCAATCTTAATTCCGGCTTTGGATTCCTCCAGTCCAGCCTTTCGCATGATGTATTCTGCATATAAGTTAAATAAGCAGGGAGACAATATACAGCCGTCGTAGTCCTTTCCCAATTTTGAACCAATCAGTTGTTCCATATCCAATTCTAACTGTTGCTTCCTGTACTACATATAGATTTCTAAGGAAATAGATAAGGTAGTCAGGCACTCCTATTTCTTTTAGAACTTGCCATAGTTTGCTGTGGTCCACACAATCAAAGGGTTTTGCATAGTCAATGAAGCAGAAGTAGATGTTTTTCTGGAACTTTCTGGCTTTTTCCATAATCCAGCGCATGTTAGCAATTTGGTCTCCAGGTCCTCTGCCCCTTCGAAATCCAGCTTATACTTCTGGGAGTTCTCAGTACAAATACTGCTGAAGCCTACCTTTGAGGATTTTGAGTATAAACTTGCTAGCGGGTGAAATGAGTTCAATTGTACGGTAGTTGGAGCATTCTTTGGCACTACCCTTCTTTGGGACTGGGATGTAGACTGATCTTTTCTAATCCTCTGGCCACTGCTGAGTTTTCCAAACTTGCTGGCATATTGAGTGTAGCACCTTAACAGTGTCATCTTTTAAAGTTTTAAATAGTTCAGCTGGAATGCCATGCTTTCTAAGGCCCACTTGACTTCAATCTCCAGAATGTCTGGCTCAAGGTCAGCAACCACACTAGCTGGGTTGTCCAGGACATCCAGATCTTTCTGGTATAATTCCTCTGTGTATTCTTGCCACCTCTTCCTGATGACCTCTGCTTCTGTTAGGTTCTTACCATATTTGTCCTTTATCATGTCCATCTTTGCACAAAATGTTTCTTTAATATCTCTAATTTTCCTGAACAGATCTCTGGTTTTTCCCTTTCTATTCTTTTCCTTTATTTCTTTGCACTGTTCGTTTAAGAAGGCCCTCTTGTCTCTCCTTGCTATTTTTTGGAAGCCTGCATTCCATTTTCTGTAACTCTCCCTATCTCCCTTGCATTTTGTTTCCCTTCTGTTCTCTGCTATTTGTAAGGCCTCGTTGGACAGCCACTTTGCTTTCATGTATTTTCATGCACTTCCTGTTCTTTGGGATGGATTTTACCAAGGTTCATAGATCTTACATTCCAGGTTCCTATGCAATATTTTTCTTTGCAGCATCAGACTTTCATTTCATTTCCAGGCGCGTCCGCAGCTGAGCGTCCTTTTGGCTTTGTCCCAACCACTTCATTAGCTCTGGAGCTATTTGTACTTGTCCTCCGCTCTTCCTCAGTAGCACGCTGGACCCCTTCTGACCTGAGGGGTTCATCTTCCAGCATCATATCTTTTAGCCCTTTGTTTCTGTCCATGGAGTTTTCTTGGCAAAGATACTGGAGTGGCTGGCTGGTTCGTGCTCCAGGTGGATCGCTTTTAATCAGAACTCTCCACTATGACCTGTCTGTCTTGGGTGTTCCTGCACGGCAAAGCCCATAGCTTCTCTGAATTACTCAAGCCCCTTCGCCACGACAAGGCAGCAATTCGTGAAGGGGGAGTGTAATGTTAGTCTCCCATTTTAAACAGCCATAAAATTCAATCCTTTAAAAAAACCCTCTTCTTTGCTTCCAAAATGCCAAGAAATGATGTATCCTTGCCTTCCAATATTGTGCCTGCACTGTCTGTAGCAAAAAAGATGCCAAGGTTTGCATGGCAAAGGCCACCCTGAATGTTGACATCAATATCTGCAGTCAAAATAGTTTGCAAGATCCTCTCATGTGCTCATCACCATTCAGAAACAGACATTAAGCAAGAGAAAATCCCAGAACCTGACTCAAAATAGTTTATCCTCTCATGTGCTCATCACCATTCAGAAACAGACATTAAGCAAGAGAAAATCCCAGAACCTGACTCCGTTTTTCATTACTTAACTGCTTATAAAGTGAATCTGATTTAAATTACATTGAAATTTTTAAAAATCAGATTTTTTTATTTACATTTTTAAAATGATTGCAAAATTTATATTGTGATTTAAATCATGATGTAATCAACTTGATTTTAAAAAATCATTGATCTTTATCAACCTTGACCGCCTGTCACTGAAACACAAAGCAACTGTCATGGCTACTTTTCAACAAGTTATCTAGGCATTTATTATTTGGGCATAAAGCAATCCAAATGACTGGAAGAACCTCCTCTGCTCAAGTATGGGTATCTGATCAGGTGCTGTAATCAGTCTTCTGCTTGTAATCACCAGATGACAGGTGCACATTCATGAAGGTCAACAATCTCTGTGTCCTGTCCCTTTAGCTGATTGCAGATGTGTTGAAAGCTGTAAATGTTTGTTACAAAATTAGATGTGCAAGATAGGCATTTTACAGCATTGTTACCTGAAGAATTGTGGTCAACGTCCCAGAATTTTAGTCATTAGGCATATGTAGTTTTATAGCCAGCAAAAAAAAGCTGAGTTAAAATTGCCCCAAGAAATCTATTACATTTTGCCAGTACTTTTTTATTCCTACTACAGTATAGTGCAGTGTATTTTTGTCAACAGGTTGGTCCATTTGAATATTGGCATGAAATCCCATTGGCTTCAGGAAGAAAGACTAAAATATCTCGGTGGACAAAGAGTAGGCAGGTCAACTGAACATTTTAAGTAAACACCAATGGAAACTTTTGTACTGTATCAGATACTGTATATAATACAACCATCATAGCAAAGTAAACTCCAAGTGAAGAATGGCAGAAGCTGCAATTTGCTTTCCTATGTGACACTTCAACTGGTGCTTTCAGTTCCCAAATATACAACAGCCACATGGACAAATACAAGGTTGGATTTATCCTGCCTCTTAATATTTATTCATTCATAGGGATACAAAAGCTTTGCAATGAAAGCACATGCAAAGCCTTAAGTATCACAAGTGCTACTATTTTACTACAGAACATCAACCTTGGCAATTCAGGGCCCTGTTGGAAGTGCCTAGCAGGAATATCTTGGGTATTTTCATGACCACTTAACCACACCCCATAGAAATAAGGAAGGGACTCGCCTCTTCTTCCCCTTACGATTTTAGTTTACATTATTCCCTTGTTCTCTCTGGCACAGGTTAAACTGCCGGTGTCTCGGGCATTTCCTCTCAAATTCCCCTCCCATACGAATAGGGGAGTACTGTTTTATTTATATTTTACTTCTCTACCCAGCGACCTCTCCACTTTCAAAGACAGCGAAAACCCCACTTCCCACCTATCTCCCAACTGTGTTGCCAGTACCAATCATGCACAATCTCCATCTTGGTATACACCCTACAAACCTTATTATCCCCCCCCAACACACACGTTCACACATTCTTTTTCTTCAGCTTCCTATGAGGAGCGCTTCCAAATTCTCTTTTTTCCGCTGAACTGAAACGACAGCTCTCCCCCCCCTCCACACCCACCCACGTCCTCCAGAGTCCAGCCGGCACCCCCTCCCATCTTGCGGAGGTGTTCGGCTTCACCAGCCCACCCACCTCCTCTGTCCACACCCAAAGCACCGGGCTCCATGTTGTGCCCTTCCCAGTCAAGCATCTTCTCCCGTCTCCGCAGACCCCACCCCACAGCACAACCACCCTTTCAACGCGCCCTGCCGTTGACCGTGACGGCGGGCAGGGGGCGCGGGACCTCCGCCATACTAAACAGGGACTCCTTGGGGAGCGTGCCACGCCGCTCCCGCCTGCTTCCGCGCGCCAGCGGCCCAAGTGGGGCCCTTGGGCGAAGACGACTCACCATGGTCAGAAGGCAACGCGACGCCCCCGCTCTGCTGGTTGCCCCGCGGACGAAGGAGCCGCCTGAGAGGCCGACGGAACAGCCAGCCAGGTGCAAGACCTAGGCTCGCGCACCACCTACCGAGCGAGGAGGGGGGAGAGAAAGCGGTGGGTGGTGTCACTCCGGGCACGTGACTGGAGGAAGGGCCCTGCCGCCCGGGAACCCGGCGGGAGGGGGAAAGGCGCGTGACTGACGGAACATCAGCAGCTTGGAAGAAGAAGAAAAAGGCGGGGAGAGGAGGAATACCTGAATGAACAAGAGGCTGGAGCAGAGTTCATCCATCCATCCTCTCTAGTTTATCATTGTGAGGATGCAAGGAGCGGAATCAGGCTATGTGTGTGTTTAGTCGTTTAGTCGTGTCCGACTCTTCGTGACCCCATGGACCAGAGCACGCCAGGCCCTCCTGTCTTCTACTGCCTCCCGGAGTTGTGTCAGGTTCATGTTGGTTGCTTCGCAGACACTGTCCAGCCATCTCATCCTCGGTCGTCCCCTTCTCCTCTTGCCATCACACCTTCCTAACATCAAGGTTTTTTCCAAGGACTCTTTTCTTCTCATGAGATGGATGCAAGGAGTCAGGCTATAGAACTTTGCAATGTTACGCTTCGAAGACAGGGGCCGTGAGAGGATGAGTCTGATGGTTTTCCCCATTGAAAGTCTTCCTGTCTTGCTTATGATTGATTTTTTTTTGATAGATATTGAAGGATGGAAAAAGTTTCCCAGAATCTTTTTTTTTTTCCTTAAGGGAGAATATGAACATGTAAACTTGTCTCTTCCTTCTCTTTATGGAACTCCTTTCCTCTGGAACAAAACTGGGGCAACTATAGGCCTTCTGGTTTCAATTTTTAAAATTTTCACTTTAAAAAAAATGTTAATCTGGCCACTCTCAGACCCTCCCATTAAAATTTTTTGCCCCACTTGTCAATGCAAAAAATTCATGTTGGATTTCAGGCCCATCTCAGTTATTGGACAAGACTCAATCATTTGGGCATTCTTGGTTTACAACTCCCATCAGGCCTAGCGATCACAGCCACTGATGCTGGAGTATAGGAGATGTGGTTCCGCAACAACTGAAAACCTGCAGTTGCCCAGCTGTGGTGGAGGTTCTGTTGGCCCCAATTATGTTTTCACTTGGGCATTGTGGCGCCGTGATTAAATCGCTGTACTGCAGCCAAACAGTGCTCACGACCTGGGGTTCAATCCCAGGTAGCCGGCTCAAGGTTGACTCAGCCTTCTATCCTTCTGAGGTCGGTAAAATGAGTACCCAGCTTGCGGGGGGGAGGCAATGTGTAGCCTGCATAATTAACTTGTAAACCACCCAGAGAGTCCTTGAAGCACTATGGGGCGGTATATAAGCAGCACGCTTTGCTTTTTTGCTTTTGCTTTGCATCAGCTAACGATGGAATTTTTAATTATATCTGTTTTGCTACGTTTTTGTATTGTTGATTTTATTGTATTGGATGTTTATTCAAAGTGTCTGATGCTTCGTGGTGGTGGGCCACATGAAATTGCTGGGAGGGCTTATTTGGAATTTTGGGGTTCAGTGATCAGGGTCCTGGCGAGTCAGCAGCTCATTATGTTACAGTACAGCCCTTCAACGAGTGGCAAGGCATTGTAATTTCATAGACCTGGAGGAGGCGTTGAGAGACAGATTGGTTTGTAACATAAGGGACGAAAAAATGCAACATTGATTGTTTGCAAGGAAGAGTCTGGATTTTAAAACAGCTTATGAGAAAATTTTAGCTGTAGAAACTGCACAGAAATTTACAAGAGAAATTCAACAGGAAAAGACTCCCCCACCTCCCAGTAAGCCGGAAAGTGTTAATCATGGGCAGTGGGAGGACTCCTCTTCTAAGGGAGGAGAAGGGAGAAGCTGTAATGCGAGTCATCCATCAGAGGCGCCAAAAGAGTAAAAGTACCACCAGAAAATCTGTGTGCCCGTTGTGGGGGGGTTCCCACCTGAGGAAGGCATGTGAGTTCCAGAATGTACAATGCCGAAGGTATGGGAAAGATGGCATATTGCTCATGTCTGTTGTGCTGCCCCTTACTCGAGGGCAACTGAAAGCGGGAATCGTCTAGCAGCTTGGGCATTCAGAAAGGGCTACAATTAGCAAAGTGAGTGTCACACCCTTTCTTTGCATTCTGTTGAACTGCCAGAGATTAAAGGAGACAGTTTTGTGATGACATTACAGCCAGCAATTCGATCAAAGATCAGAGTGACTGTAAGAATTCAGGATGTGCCATGTGAAATGGAGGTGGACACGGGTTCTGCATTGTCTATCATTGCAGACCAGACACTCCAGCAGATTTGTCCTAAGGGGTGGAGGCACAAATTGGAGCCCTGTGATGTACTTCTTAAGGATTTCCAGGGCAAGCAGGTTCCTGTGCTGGGATTTAGATTTTGAGTCATCCTTCAGTCTCGAGAGACTACGGTAATGTGCTCTGTATGGAGGACTTGGAACAGCATCTAGTGTGGCTGAGAAGGTCAATTCGAGAGTGACAATTCCTTCCACAATGAAGACAAATACAATCTGTCCCCTGTCCAGCTCCCTGATTTTGCTGCTTTCATGACTGCCTCTTTGCCGTGTCCTGCTGGAAAAGGGTCTCTTCGAATTGGAAGAGGCCGAGATGCACCGCATGCCTCCAGGCTGAACGCTCCGATGTCAGGGTTTCCCATCTGTTGAGGTCCATTCCTAAGGCTTTCAGATCCCGCTTGCAGATATCCTTGTATCGCATTGTGGTCTCCCTCTGGGGCACTTTCCCTGCACTAATTCTCCATACAAGAGATCTTTTGGAATCCGACCATCAGCCATTCTCATGACATGGCCAAGCCAACGTAGACGTCGCTGTTTCAGTAATGTACAGTATACATGCTGAATATTCCAGCTCGTTCTAGGACTACTCTGTTTGGAACTTTGTCCTGCCAGGTGATACCAAAAATGCATTGGAGACAATGCATATGGAACGTTTTCAGCTTCCTCTCCTGCTGTGTATGAAGGGTCCAGGACTCATTGCAGTACAGAAGTGTACTCAGGACACAGGCTCTATAGACCTGGATCTTGGTATATGTCATCAGCTTTTTATTAAGCCATACTCTCTTTGTGAGTCTAGAGAACATGGTAGCTGCTTTGCCAATGCATTTATCCAGCTCGACATCTAGAGAGAGAGTGTCAGAGATCGTTGAGCCAAGGTGCACAAAGTCACGAATAACCTCCAATTCTTGCGTGGAGATGGTAATAGAAGGAGGAGAGTCCACGCCCTGGCCCATGACTTGTGTTTTCATCAGGCTGATTGTTACTCCAAAGTCTTGGCAGGCCTTGCTAAAACGATTCATGAGTTGTTGGAGGTCTTCAGC